AACACCCTGTGGTTATGTCATCTGTGCCCCTTATTTAAAATGTGGACCAAGGTCTCCAAACATGAAACACCTGCTTTTGGTTCTCATGGGTCACTCATAGTGTTCATTTTGTCAGCTATTTTTTTATTTAGTTTTAGTCCTGTATCAAATGTCCTTGTTAGTTTTAGTCATATTTAGTCACCTTCATCCTGTTTTTATTTAGTCAAGTTTTAGTCGACTAAAGGTCTGAGCATTTTAGTCTTATTTTAGTCAAAGAAAACATTAACTATTTTAGTCAAGATTTAGTCGACTAAAAGTCTGAGCATTTTAGTCTTATTTTAGAAAACTAACTATTTTAGTCTACTTTTTGTTAATGAAAACTGTTGACATTTGAGTCTTTTTTAGTCATCAGATTATATAGAACATTTCAGTCAAACTAGTCTAGCCAAAACCAATAATTTGTCATTTTAGGCTACAATATCAAAGAGTGAAAACTTTTATCTAACCGTCTTTTAGCTCTTGGCCCATAGGGGAGAAGGGGGTAAGTTGAGCGAGTGGGTAAATTGAACCACCCCTTGTAACCAGGCAACGCTATATAGTTGTAATCACGTGACCAGAACTTATGCAAGCTCCTCCCATTTCTCATTGGCTGTGACAGAGAGATGCTCATTGTGGTCTGGTAAGTAAACATTTTTACAAAAAAACGTTTTTTGCTTGTCAAAGTCAGTTTTCTAGATATCAGCTATATCGGCTGTCATGTCAAACAAAATGTATCCAGGTTTAAAAACATACATTGTATATGTTGGCAGCGTATTAAACCATGTGAATCATTAAGCTAAAGATGACTCTGAATTTTTAAGCTAGGCTATTTTTTCTAAAATGGTAGCTAGCCAGTGGAGTAGCAGAATGAAAGTAGGCCCAGTTGATAATAAGAGCTCATTGTAGGCTACATGTAAAGTTGAATTTATCCTGTGTTTGATTGGTAAGCTGTATGAAATTGTATCACCATTTGTATGATTACTTTTCCTTTTAACATGTTAAAAAAAAATCAATCAATTCAATCGAAATTTATATTAAAATATTTGAAAAACTAAACTTGTATTTGGTTTGTTATTTATTGTTTAAAGTTACCTTTAAGATTTTTCGTAGGTATGCCCAGGTTTAAACTGGAAAAAGTGAATTGGTCAATTTACCCAACAGTGGTTCAATTTACCCCCTGACCTGGATCAACTTACTGGAGCAAGTTGGACCACTTTTTTTTTTAGAAGTAATATTTTCACTGCCCTTGATCAAATATGAATTATTATCATTGCCATTGATATATGAGACATCCTGAATTATAGTTCAATCAGGAGAGACGTGATGTATGGAATACATGTTTATTATCGGTCACATTATATAAATGAAACATAATGATGACAGTTTATAACAAGTGAATGAAATGGGGTTTGGCGATTAGGCCCAGGTTTTGTAGGATATCATTCGGGAAGGGAAAGAACCGTTTCCGATGAACCCCCCTGGGTTTAGACACTGGTGGTGGTGATAAGTGGTTAGGTCCGGTTGGAAGGGAGAAGGTTAAGCTTGGCCCTGAGTTGGAAGCAGGAGGCGAAGGGGTGGAGGAGGGTTGCGCGTTGACACCTGGAAGACAGCTGATAGAAAAGGGGAGAGCATATATAGAGGGATTAACAGGTGCGATAATTAGGCTTGTGAATGGAGAGAAGTGATAGGTTAATAATAATAATAATAATGCATTTTATTTATGGGCGCCTTTCAAAGCTCTCAAGGACACCTTACAGAGCATAATTAAAAACAATCAACAAAGAAGAGCACACAGTAATACAAGACTTAAAAAAATACTTAAATAACAGAGACTTAAAAACAACAATCAGTTTAGCAGAGATTAAGAAATAGAATACGCCAGTTTAAAAAGGTGTGTTTTCAGGCTGGATTTGAAGGGTGGGAGGGAGTCCATATTGCGGATGTCTTGTGGGAGAGAGTTCCAGAGACGGGGGGCAGAGTGGCTGAAGGCTCGTGACCCCATGGTGATCAGGCGGGCAGAAGGTACAGTGAGTTGGAAGGCAGAGGAGGATCGGAGAGTACGAGAGGGAGTGTAGATGTGAAGGAGCTCAGAGAGATATAGAGGGGCAAGAGTGTGAAGGGCCTTGAAGGTGAGGAGCAACACTTTGAAGTCTATGCGGTGCTTAACGGGGAGCCAATGGAGTTGTTGGAGAACCGGAGTGATATGATTAATGAAAGGAGTTCTGGTGATGATACGGGCGGCTGAGTTTTGGACCTGTTGGAGCTTACGTAGGGATTTCTGAGGAAGACCAGAGAGGATGGAGTTGCAATAATCGATACGGGACGTAACGAGGGCGTGGACGAGGATGGCGGTGCTGTTGGGTGTGAGTGACGGGCGGAGGCGGTTAATATTGCGGAGGTGGAAGTAGGCAGATCGAGTGATGTTGTTGATGTGAGCTTCAAATGATAAGGTGCTGTCAAGGATGACACCCATACTCTTAACTTGGGGGGAGGGTGAGACTGTGGAATTGTCAATAGTGAGGAAGAATTTGTCAGTTTTAGCCAGAGTGGACTTGAAGCCAACTAGGAGAAACTCAGTTTTATCACTGTTGAGTTTTAAGAAGTTGGATGAGAACCAGGATTTGATTTCCAGTAAGCAGTCGGAAAGGGCAGTGGGGGGGAGAGTGGAAGTGGGTTTGGTGGAAAAATAGAGCTGGGTGTCATCCGCGTAGCAGTGAAATTGGATTGCGTATTTTCTGAAGATATGGCCGAGAGGTAGGAGGTAGATGATAAATAGGAGGGGGCCCAAGACAGAACCCTGAGGAACACCAGTGAAGACTGGATGGGACTGTGATTTGAAGTGTTTGAGTTGGACAAAGTGAGTACGACCGGAGAGGAAAGATCTAAACCAGGTGTGGGATGTGCCAATGATACCAATGGAAGATAATCTGTCAAGGAGGATTTGGTGTGAGATGGTGTCAAAGGCTGCAGTCAGGTCAAGGAGGATGAGTATCGATAAGAGCCCAGAGTCAGCTGCTACTAGGAGATCGTTTGTGATTTTAACCATGGCCGTCTCTGTACTGTGTGAGGAGCGGAAGCCAGACTGAAATTCTTCAAAAAGATTATTGTTGTTCAGATTAGCTAAGGAGTGGCGCTCCCTGTCATCTAGTGAAGGGAGCGAGTATTGCCATGAAGTGCAATACGGAGTGATAGGTCTTCCTGCCTGAACTTGCGCTAAGCTTCATTTCAATCAGGAGAGACGTGATGTATGGAATACATGTTTATTATCGGTCACATTATATAAATGAAACATAATGATGACCGTTTATAACAAGTGAATGAAATGGTGTTTGGCGATTAGGCCCAGGTTTTGTAGGATATCATTCGGGAAGGGAAAGAACCGTTTCCGATGAACCCCCAAAAGAAGTGAAGTATGAAGTACTGAACGTGAAGAAATCTTACCTTGTGGGATGCAGTGGAAATCTATGGATGAAATTAGAGGTTAATACATGTGGGAATTTAGACATACTGATGCCTCCCAGGCATCCTTCCAGGACGTACAGGGCTTCCTGGACGTATAGGGCATCCTGGACATACAGGGCGTCCTGGACATACAGGGCTTCCCGGACGTAAGGGGCATCCTGGACGTACAGGGCATCCTGGACATACAGGGCGTCCCGGACACACAGGGCATCCTGGACGTACAGGGCATCCTGGACATACAGGGCGTCCCGGACACACAGGGCATCCTGGACGTACAGGGCTTCCCGGACGTACGGGGCATCCTGGACATACAGGGCATCCTGGACATACAGGGCTTCCCGGACGTACGGGGCATCCCGGACGTACGGGGCATCCTGGACGTACAGGGCTTCCCGGACGTGCGGGGCAACCTGACTTAGCAGGGACACATTTATACAGACCCGAAGGTTGCGACCTGGACATACAGGGTTAGACATGGCAAGAATAAACAAGAGCCGCGGGGCGAACATACGTGCTGACATGCTAAGAACCACCACCAGTTATATGCATACGTACCAATTTTAAGGTTGGAGAGACCTTTGGATAGCCAGCACGGCACTGAGGTCCGGACGAATGTAGGATGAGAAAGCGGAGGAGGACCACCGTCCGAGTTGTTGCAGGGATGAGGATGAGACGCCTTGATTAGCAGCGGAAGTAGCTGCACCTATTCTAAATGAATGCCCCGTGTATAGAAGGGGTGATAACCCGGATTTAATGAGAACTTGCTTTAAATAGTGATTGAACTGTCGTTGAGTTAAGGGAAAATTCCCTGAGATAAGAAATAATGGTGAGAGAGGATTAGAGGTAGGTCTAAGCTGTAGGAATTTGATCATGGATTTATAAGGGCAGAACTGGGAGTCGTTGCGGGCGGCGATGATGGAGCAGGCGCCGCCGCATTTGGAGTGCTTAAGATATAAGCTAAAATGGCTGGCGTGAAAGGATATGTCAGAAAAGCTGGCGTCTCGTTTGAAATCGAACGTAAGAGAAGCTGTGGTAAATTCACCTGGTCTGAGGAAAGCGTAAAAAGCTAGGAGAAATAAAGCATCAAGTAACGCATCGATATAAGGGGAGAACAACCCACTTCTAAGTTTGGAGAGCATAAGGCGTAAAGTGGAGAGTGTAATAGGACGTCTCCGGTCTAAGACGGGGGGGAAACGTTTTAATAAGACCTTTGAGAATGAGTTTGACTGACTGGTTTGCGAACAGGCTGGGAAAGCCGGGATCGAAACAGCGAACATTAAACTGAACTCCTGCTAAGAGGCCCCGGATGTATTGGGGTTTGAGGTGGTGATCAGTGGCGCAGTAGCACATGAAGGCGCACACGGTGAAGATGAGAACAGGTTTAAGTGTAATGCCTACGGAAAAGTAAAATCACGCAAACGTTCTCCAAGTGAAATCATATGTTTTGAGGGTGGACGCGGCTAAGTCCTTCCTCATAAGAACCCTGGCGGATTCGAGGTGCCTTGCTAGGGGGCTTCTATTTAGAAGAGAGAGAGGAGATGCAGGGGAGGAATCCTGACGGGTTGAGCGCTGGCTCCTGGGCAGAGGTTCCGGAATGTCTGGAAGTGGAAGCGAGAGAGGGAATCAGCCACTGAGTTAAGGTGGCCGGGAACGTGACGAGCGGAGATGAGGAAGTTGTGGATGATGGAAGACCACGTGATGCTTCTCATGAACGGCATGATGTCGCGGCACGGGGAGCGCGCTTTATTAATAATCCCGACCACTGATTGGTTGTCACAGAGTACTGAGATCCGCTTCCGGGGCCAGAGGTGACCCCACACGTGGCAGGCAACAGCGATCGGAAAGATCTCATGCAGAGCGGAGGAAGAGGCATGGCTGGGGAATGACGGAGGCCACGAGCCTGCGAACCACTCTCCCTGGAAGAAACCCCCAAAACCCACGGATGGGGCAGCGTCCGTGAAGAATCTCATGGAGTCGGAGGAGTACACGAGGTCGTCGTAGAAGAAGGTGACGCCATTCCAGTGTGCGAGCAGGAGGGACCAAAACCGCAGGTCTGAGCGGCAGCCTTCATCTAGGAAGACGTGGTCATGGAGGTTTTCTGCAGCCGACGCTGTATCCAGGAGCCGGGAAATAAAAGAGCGCCCCTGGGATGATACGCATGGCGAAGTTGAGGTGCCCGAGCAGGGAGAGCAGCTGCTGCTTGGTGATAACTTTTTGCTCGCAGAAGGCTTTTGAGATGTCGTGAATGCGCTGCAGTTTGTCCGTGGGGAGAGACGCTTCCATGTCTACAGAGTCGAGTGTAATGCCCAAAAACTCCAGGCGTGTGGTGGGACCTAGCGTTTTCTCTTCTGAGAGGGGAACACCTAACTCCTGAAAGCATAGTTTGAGTTTTGCTAAAGAGGCGCCTGAGTTGTCCCGAGGGGGATCTATGAGGAGGAAATCGTCCAATAAGTGAAGGACAGAGCGGATTCTGACGATGTTCAGGAGGATCCAGCAGAAGGCTTCGGAAAAAGAATTAAAGATGCAAGGGCTACTTCTGCACCCGAAGGTTAAACGGACAGCGAAGTAGAATTTGGACTCCCACCTGATACCGATCATGTGCCACTGAGATGGGTGAATGGGAATTATTTTGAACGCGTCGGTGATGTCTGCTTTGGTGAGCCACGCTCCTTGCCCTGCAAATTTGATAAGCTTGATGGCATTATCGACTGAAGCGAAAAATACTCTGGGGGAATAAGGCTATTAATGCTGCAAAACGGACCAGCGCGAGGAGCGGACAGATCGAAAATGAGCCTTTTCTTCTCGGAGTATGTGCGTGTAGCGACCCCTATTGGGCTTGTCCGGAACACTGGGAACGGAGAGGAATGGAAAGGACCGATTAAATATCCTTTGTTGAGCTCTTTTTGAATGAGCTGAGAGACTATGGTGGGTTCTTTGGCGGCTGACTGCAGGTTTTTAGCCACTAAAGTCACTGAGGTGGGAGAAAGGACCCCTACCCTGAACCCTTGAGAGAGCCCTGATAAAAAGATAATCAACGAACACGGGATTTGGGTGAGTCGAAAGCGCAGCTGCTAAGTGTGTGGTGTTAATGGGAGTCGAGGGGTGATGTTTTAAAAGGTTTTTCCACCACGTTGATTCTGGCGCGGGAAAGGGGGCCGGCGCCTGGGGCAAACTGAACTCGGGTGAGCATTACAATAAGGGTAAGAACACACGTTCTCATTAAAAGAAACGCAAATCTTATTATCCCTTGCTTGATCACCTAACGGTTTGGTTTATTGTTCCCGGAATACTGCGTGGGGAAAACGCTAGACCCGGAGAGAGGCACTGAAGGGCAGAGCGGAGAGGTGTGGCCCTGCGCTCCGCAGCTAATGCACGAGACGACTTGTTGCCCGCCGGTAGCCATTACGAGCAGCTCGGTATCCATCACGGACCAGTCCAGGCGGATGTTACAATGAGCTAAGTGTAGCGCTGCTTTGCTAGAGAAGCTTTTATGGTATTGATAGAACACTGATTTCCCGTATTTGATGTGAAGATCGCCAATCATGGCCAGATAAGCATCTTAACTCCACTCTCCTTCCAGGGTAAACTGCGCAGAGGACATCGCGGAAGATGCTAAAAGCTACCAGAAATTGCCCTATAGAAAGGTCTTTGAGGAGCCGGGGGTCTGCGGATTTAAATACCGCAGTAATGCTTCCTCCCGTGGCGATGGCTTTGTCGCACTCCGGGGAAGGCAGAATAAGGCTAACCAAATAAATGTCTTTCCCGTCGCGGATTTTTGCTCTGAGCCGTGAGGAGATGTTAGCGGCTTGGGGAATGTAGGGCCTACCTGAGGGAGGAGCCGGGAGGGCGAAAGCCAGAGAGTGAGAAGGAACTACCATGCCAAATGCAAAATCCTGACCCGGCGGGGCCGCCGAAGAGGTTGAAGCTCCGGCCTGGCCTCTCTCCATGGACTGAAGGCGAGCGTCGATTAGCAGCATAGAACTTGCCAGAGATTGCAGTGTGTTGGCTAGGCTGCCATCGAAGAGGGGCTGAGTGCCGGAGCACCCGGGCTGAGCGGCGCTGGAGTGAGCGGCGCTGGAGTGAGCCTGAGGAGTGGAGGATTTCTTGGCCGAGCGAGCTCCTGGAGGACTCGCTTTTTTAGACCTTTTGCCCCCTCGGCCGCGATAGCGCCCTCGCCCTCTTCCGGGGGGGCTGGCTGGAGCTGCTGGGCTGGGAGACCGCACCGGAGGCTTGGTCCGACAGCTCACGGAGCTGGGAAAGCAGGAGATCTGGGGCTGGGGTGATGCCCTGCTTCCGGAGATGGGCGACGAGGAATTCTGCCTCTGCTGTGCGAGAGCCGCTGCGGGCGCTCAGACGAGAACTGAGGCGACGGTGACTTGAGGAGTTTGACGCTTCCTCTGGAAGTGCATCGGAGATGGGATCGAGATCCTTCGAAAAAAGTAGGTTCTCTGAAGAGTCTGAATTAGACATGTTTGAGGTTTTTCGTATCAAGTGTTTAGGCGTAAGAGGGTAAGCTACCAACTTGTGCGTTGACACCTGGAAGACAGCTGATAGAAAAGGGGACAGCATATATAGAAGGATTAACAGGTGCGATAATTAGGCTTGTGAATGGAGGGAAGTGATAGGTTAGCTAAGGAGTGGCGCTCCCTGTCATCTAGTGAAGGGAGCGAGTATTGCCATGACGTGCAATACGGAGTGATAGGTCTTCCCATAGATATATATAAACACTAGATGACTCACCCGCGCTGCTGGCCAATGGAGACCGACGTTGCAACTTGGCCGCCATCTCGCTACAGGCAGTGCTCTCATTCATAACATTATAGTTTACTATTTAAATAACCATAGCTTGCTCAATTTTCAACCAATTTTCAAACGGTTTGGTTTTTTATAAATATCAAAGATGTAGTTATGATACTGCATACTTATAATCATGGACTTTCATATGAAAATAACATTAATCAGATAAAGCAATAGCTATACACACACACACACAAAGTATTTATATTAAATATTTGCCGGTGTATATATTTCCATTTATTTTATTATATTGTTAATATTTTAAATAAATTATAAATAAATTATAAAATACATTTATATTTTATATATAAAAATCGGTCTCATGTTACCACTCTGTAAGCCAAGAGTTGTTAATTTAGCAATGCCTTAGCTTGAAGAACAGGGACACAAATAATGACAATAGCATATGTTGGTATATTATTTAGATATTCACACCTTTATCAGAAGAACCAAACATAAAATGTGGTCACAGACAGTTCTGTATAATTTATCACAATTATTTTTGACATGAGATCTTCATATCATCCTAGTTTCTAGATTTGTAAACAAATCCAGAACCTTTGAAATATGTTATTGAAAAAAGACCAAGAATAATATAAACTGTACCATGTGTCCTTTTGTGTCCTTCTGTATTCCATTTGTGGTTTGTCTTGTCTCACCCCGGCTGATATATCACAAAATCCACTGTTTAAATTGTTCCCTATATTGCCCCTATGCCCCTGTAAGGTGTCCTTGGGTGTTATGAAAGGCGGCCCCCCAACATAAATGTATTATTATTATTAAGAAGAACAACTTGGTGTGGTGTGGAGGGAATGTAGGAAGCAGGAGCAGGTGGGGAGAGATGGGGCTTCAAGGTTATTTGTTTTAAATGTGTCTTGGAGATAAGGACCAGCTGCACACAATAAAATACAGTATAACACAAAACCAATAAGACACACGGTGACACATGGCACACCAACAATCAATCATCGTCCAGCCTCAGCTTTGGTATTCTTTCACAACCATGTTATGGGTTTATTAGACTAAGCAAACATAAACATATGTGGTGATCCCACGGGTTCTTGTTTGCAGACAGCGGCGATTGGAGCATCCGTAGGCTGCACAAAAGTCCGGCATAGTCAGGTACTTCTGTAAACACAAAGCCAGCAAATTCCTGTATCATAATGCAAGATGTTTTTAACAAGCCAAACCACTTGGAAGAAATCATGTGTAACTTAAGTTATGTTGAAAAGAAAGAGCAGTTCTGCCTCTCCCACTGGTGTAAAGTTGCTGGGTCAACTTTGTAATACTAGGTCTCACTCACAGCCTCTTGTTATTAGCCAGCTAATAAATACAACCACATACACAAAGAAAAGCTGCAATTTCAACATGTCCAAGCATCCTGTATCATAGCCATGCTAATAATGTTTATAATAAACCAAACCGTTTGTAAATCAGTCAAGATTTCAGCGAGTTAAGAGTATTTTTGTGCAGATCACTCACCTTACAACAGCTACCATAACGCGAATCAGAGTAACTGTTGACTGTAGCAAGATGGCGGCCGGTCAGCTACGCTGGAAAATCTCCCATGAGCCATCTAGTGTTTATATATATATATGGGTCTTCCTGCCTGAACTTGCGCTAAGCTTCATGTGTCGGTGTGTGCTTTCATTTTACTGTGTGTCATTTCTCCTTGCTTAGAGGACAGCATAACTAAAAAATCGCTCAACTTACCCCACTCTCCCCGCAGAAAAAAAGATGTCCTTGAGTAAAAGCCAGAGAGGTGAGAAATAAATAATCTGTTGTCTCTGAAACCTAAAACAACCTGTTTTTCGGTTTCTGTGTCACCACAGAATCACACCCTTAATAACACCACCCTTTAAGCTTAAACATGTTGTGCTTTTGTAGATCCACGTCGTTGAGCTGTAAATTGTAATGCACATGCAATGATGGTAACTGGACAGACTGAATATGGAAAAACAGACACATATTGTTGAAATTGCACCTATAACCTCAGGCTGTTTATCATCTGTTTTGCAAAGGCATTTATTTTGACCATTTTCAGAATGTTAATGCACTTCTTTAGGCCTTCACTAAAATAAGGGGAAACATTTGGAGGTGTTGTTATTTATCATGCAATGGTTTTACTCGTCCACGCCTTGAGATCAAATTGGGATGAATGTGGCTCGTGAACAAAAAAGTGTTTAACAATGCTGCTCTCTGCTCTTACGTTCCACCATTATGAAATAAAAACAATTCTGCAAAAAAAAGGGAGATACACACCACTTTATAAAATAGCCCCATTTATTTAGGTGGTAGGTGCAGAAAAGGATCTGTCAAAAACAGAGTAAAGGAAGCAGTCTGCAAGGCCAAAACTATGCAAGATGTGGCTCACTTATTAACTGAACGGATGAATGTGGCACAGTTATTTTTCAGGGATTTGGGTGGGAGGATAAACCAGGGGGGGCAGGTGGGTATAATTGGGTGGAGGTATGGAGTAGGAGGGAGATTATTGACAGATGCAGAGGAGTTTAGGTATAAATTGAGTGAGTGACAGATCTTTCACCTCCAGTCTGGTCGCAGGAAGGCTTGAGTAAAGATGATTGGCCTGATTGTTCTCGCACTCCTGGGCGCTGCAGGTAAAGCACATCTGCAGAACAATAATAAGTACGAAATGTAACTATTGTTATTGCTTAATACCACACAGGGCTCGACAGTAACGGTTGCCAGGTTGCCATTGGCAACCATTCAAAAAAATGTCAACCACTTATTGGCCTTTGGTTGCCATCAGTGGCAACCCGTTTTTAACATAAAGAAATAAGGGCAGCAAACAGCAAAATGTGCACCCCAAAATAGATGAATGTTAATTATTTGTTGTATTAAGAGTGATATTTAATTATTGTTGTGACCAGTCGGAACCTGATACTTAAGTTGCACGTGCATTGGTATGATTACGGAGCCAGAAAGCAATGCACGTTTACTCGCGTGCGCGGTGCGCTGTGGGTTTGTTTTACAAAAAATGGCGAAGCAAATTAAGTTGTTTGACTGTAAACTAAAAAGTTCAGCCAACCCGTCAACATCTCAAGCGAATGTTCAAAGTGATTCAACTGATAAAGCGCAAGATGAACCCCAACGAAAAGCAAAGAGGATATGTGTAAAGTCTTGGGAGGCGAAATAGAGTGGCGAAGTCACGCCCATCTACTTCCGGTCCATGGGACCTTATTTCGAAAAAATTATGTATTGAAGTCAATGGAGAGAGAAAACTTGTCTTTTGATCCCGTTTGAATTTTGCCATGAATTACACATATGATGTTTGTCAATCTTAAAAAAATAATTTCGTAAAACTGTTGAAATATAAAACTATGAAAAATACGCAACTAGAAAGACTACAAATCCCAGAGTCGCGTAAGTGATGTCATAACTGATGTCACAATTGTTTTCCTCTGCTAAATATAAGAGATAGATAAGATAAATGTAACAAGATGCCTGTGTGCTTAGTACCAGGTTGTTATCATACCAGCAATGGGTCTTGCTCGTTCTTTTGCTTCCTGTCTGATGAAAGGACCAGGAGTTGCTGGACAAGTTAGCTACCTAGCTAGTTGCAAGCACGTTAGTTAGCATTACAGCCTTAGCCTTATCATTTGTATTAGCCTTAACATGAAGTAACATTAAGTAACCCAAAATGTTAAACGGTAAGAGTAGTAGTCATATTTCGTGAACCCTTTGAAGAGTACTGTCACACCGGTGTGATAATTCTATAATACACCATTTAAACCCGGGGGAGAAATGCTAACGCTACATTAGCATCCACGATCTTTAATACTTCATGCTATCAGCTATCTGCACAAATGGTTGACATTAAACATTAAACAGATCAGGCAGTTCAGAGAGAATCAAAGGAAGGCAGGCAGCTTTGCATGACATTCTTCTGGACGTGTTTCATTGTGGTGATAGTGAGGGTAGTTAATCCCTTGTTTAGCAAGACAGTAGTGACGGCCATCTTGGTGACGTGTGTTGTTGTGCAAGACCAGAGATGTAGTTCATTGACCGTTTCACACAAAAAAATGTGTTACTTCACAGTTTTACGACACTTTTTTTTTTTTAACTGGCAAAATTATCTTTTAAATTGACGAACATCATATGTGTAATTCGTGGCACAATTCAAACTGGATCGAAAGATAATCTTTCTCTCTCCATTGACTTTAATACATAATTATTATTTTTTGTATACATTACAGGTATGGATGCAAATACGAGGCAACTGCCCGAAAGCAGTATGAAGGAGTACAAAGTCTGCACCACCAGGGTTTCAGCTGTAAATACAGCGGGCTTTGGCTGAACCCTCAATGGCCATACATGGGAGCGTCGCCAGACGGAGGTGTCACGTGCACCTGCCATGGAACTGGTATCTGTGAGATAAAGGTAAGTTATTTGTTCAGTATTGTGCTACAGTAAAGCGGGTAAGTATAGGATTGTGACGTGATCCTGAGTCTGGGGATCCTCTCCCAATACATTTTGAGCTGCAGACACTTATTTACAGTACAATATATTACTTTTCTTTTCATTGAACCTTTAGTGCCCACACAGCAAACAAGAGGAGGCCAATCTTCGCCTGTGTGCTAGAGAACAGGGCTTCTGTCTCGTCAACGATGGGGGCACTGTGAAGCTGGACAGGAGACATGCCTACTACCATC